TACGTACAAACACAAACACACATATATACACAGGAAAACGCACACACGTACATGCACACGCACACGACCCGCGCGCGCTCGCACGCACGCACACACACAGACACACACAACCACGCACGTATACACACACATGCCTACACGCCCCACATACATAGATATACATATGCGTGCGCATATACAAACATGGGCAATATATATATACACTCATACAACTCGGTAACACGTGCCCGCTTCAAATATATACCGACATTGCTACCGATATAAACTGAAGATGAAAAAGGATTTAATAATTAATTCAATAACTAATTACTCACCTCTCTGCGAAAACCAAGTTAGAAAGCGCCTAGACAGTACTATCGAGGCGTGTATGTAGCGTATAAGAGCCCGCATGTGTGAAACCCCACTCGTACTAGTTGTCCATCTTTGCTTCCATCCATCGTCCATACCATCAGAAGTTGATAATAGGTATTCTCTATTATCTACTTCTGATACCATCCATCCATCGTTTTAATCTTGTGCTGAGCGTAAGCTCGCTAACCTCGCTTTAACATCCTGCACGTACATCCAGAATATCGAGATCTTTTCCACTGCCTGAGATAGACGGACGGTCTGGCGGACTAAAGTCAGTCATTCCAATTCACGCTTGCCCGCGATGACTACGTTAGTATTACGTTTTATCTCTGTGGAGCCAAAGTATGAGCTTTATACCCGTTAAACTCTACATTATTTATTCTACAAAGCTACTTTTACTGTTCAACACCAATGCGAAATTAGAATGAAAATTAAATGAGAAAAATTGCGATTGTATTTATGTTTTTAGCGAAGCAGTTTAACTAGCGTCGTATCTGGGGGGGGGGGAGTATTCGTTACGGCTGTAAAACACGAGGATTTTGCAACGCGAATTACTCAGTTATTTATGTCCCATCGTAATCGGTGTTCGGACCGAAATTCACCCCCCCCCCAATCCTTGTTGGCTCGGATTTTCTAAGCATCTACCCAGCCTAGCTGCGCCACTAGTTGTAACAGAGTACGCCGAGCGCATGCTCACATTGTTTGATCTCTGTGGTGAGAATGGATCACACTAAGCTAAAAATCCCAATAAATCAGCAGAAGTTATTGCGCAAGTTTGAGACATTTGCAGTGCCTCCCCCCCCCCGCACGCTCTCTCCCATCCTGATGGCTCAAACGTCCAACGCTGCTGATTGGCTGATATGAGAGTATTAGTACCTTGATATCGCCGCTGCCTCGCCGGCGTCAGTGAGCATCTCCCGTAAGGTATGCTGTCGCTGCAGGGTATTCGCGACTAGAGCGCAGTGTAGACCTTTTCATGTAACTGCCGCCCGAGCGAAGCTACTAGGTTCACCGCACCTCATCGTCACACGCGTAGTTTGCCGCAGACACACACTCACACGTAAGTACGCACGCACGCACGCACACATGCGCTCACACACGCACGCACACACACGCGCACGCACACACACG